TTCGGAAACCGTGGATTTTAATTTTGTTATTATCATGCTCTAAACACGTATGTCAGTAATATCATGCAATAATCAGAATTCAGTATATGCTGCTGCAAGTAAGACTTCCCTCACTTGGCAATAAAGATGGCGTGTTAGAACCTATAACAAATTGCCATCTCATTTTAAATGTTGGAAAATAATATTAAAAGAAACAAGGAAAAACCTGGTTATTACCATTTTTGTTTCTTGTTTCCTTGTTGCTGCTTTTCACCTCACTGTAGATATATAGAAGCTAATGATGTCATCAAAGCAAATTATGGTTTCGTTCATCTATTATTCATATTTGGTCAGAAAAGTATTTATATATAGATGTCATGAGTGCCTCTTAGTGTGTTATATTTTCATTCTTTCATATTTATATAAATTATTTTTTCTTCTTAAATCATAATTAATTTGCTTTATACAGTATGATTATCCTTTTTCTAAAAAATTAAGGATGCATTATCTTTAATATGCCAAGTTGGGAAGTAGGATGCATTAAGCTACTTACTTTTTTGGGTTGCATAAATTCTTTTTGGCTATATGTTTTTTTTTTTTTTGAGAGAACATGCTATAAAGTAGAGTTCTTATGAAACCAGTTTAGCATTGATCTTGTGATCTGATAGATGTTTCAGAAGCAATACGAAGAGAACATTAGTAATTCCAAAACAAAATAGCTTTTTCTAATATATACGATGTTCACTTTGAAACTTCTACGATATGGTAGCCATAAATCCGCATTTTAGCGTAACTTAATATAACTCAAAAATTCATCTAACATGACTCATCTTTCAATACCCATCCGGTAATATAAACTGCAATAAGTATCACAGACTACTTTTTTTTCTTCATTGACCGTCGATCTAATATATAATCACTACAATTAATAAATACATTTGTCTTTTTTGTTGAATAACAATTTGGAACTCCTTGATTTATCGGTGGCAAAAGGAAGCTATCTAGGTTGACAATTTTACTAAGACTCTTATGAGTACGTGTTAAAATATCTCTAATGGATCCGTTCAATAGACATGAGTAAGATATTTATCCATAAAATTAAGTTACGATAGTGCAGTCTGAAAATTAACATATATAATTTTATTATAAGAATTTTCTTGTAAATTTGAACGAAGATTGAAACCTTATTAATTTTTTAAATTATATTAATGTCAAAGATGACTATGGTTTCTTCCTCTGACAAATAATAAGAATAATGTAAAATTTGCAAATAGAGATTTATTATATATATTTTTATTTTTATTTACAACAACGGCATATCTCGTACAAATTATCTAAAGCACAAACCACACAGAGTGGATTTATATTAATGTTTGGACATTTTTGAAACTTTATTTTGAATAAGATAACATAATTGGGAATAATTTTAATTCCTTATTTGAAGTAGCAACATGACAGTTTCTATCCAATGTGGGGAACTTGTTTGACAATTCCATGTATGTTGATCCAAACCCAAACCCTATCACACCGGAAGTCAAAAGTGACTGAAGATCCTTCTGCCACGATTTTAGCATTCACTGATGGATTCTCTCTCTCAATCGTAGCCTCTGCTACTCTCCCTTCCACTCCAAACCAGCTCAGGCCATGACCTCTTACATGCATGCATGCACAAAACAACCCAAACCCTCTCAACTTAATTAATTATAACAAATTCGTTGCAATTTATCAATATTAATTCATATGCACAACTTATATACCTTTGCAATTGTCAGACATATTTAGCTTCTTGTTTTGTGGGGAAGGGGTAATTAAGGGGGGTATTCATAGTTATTTTTATTTATTTTTTTCTGGCTAGATCATGATGAGTCCGTAAACCATGCATTTTGACTTTGACTCTCCTATTATTATCATGCACGTCATTCTTCTAGTTAAACACGTACGTACATTGTCAGAACTTATAATATCACGCAAACAAAGTTCAACATTTGCTGCTCAACTATTCAATTCAATCCAAGGTTTCAGATTTAAATCTATGGATAATTCTTGCTTTCCATGCATATATATCTCCAAAGCATAACTGTAATTTTTGGGGTAACATTGTAACAAGGAGCGGATCGAATCCAATTCTATGTGGTTACCAACTAATGTAAATATATATTATAATTTTTTATTTGTTAAAACACAAATCACTCATTAAAAAAATTTAAGATGTTGAGACTTGATATTTATAAATTAATAATTAAAATGTGATATAACGCTATTAACATGACCTAATGTCGTGCTTAAAAAATATTTATGACTATGATATATATATATAT